TCTTACATGTATAGAAGGTATAACAAGTTTTTATAACCAGGTCTCTATATCTGGTCTCAAAATTAGAAAATAATACTCATTATTTTTAATGATGTACATGTTTTGTCTTAACTAGACGGTGACTTGTTGATTTTATTTTTTATTATTTAAAAAGACTATTTAAGCAACAGAAAAAACACAAACATTAAAAAATCCTATATTAGGTTTCATGAGAAATTCTTCAAAAAAGATGGCTATGCATTCATTTCCCTATCATTTCTATAGTAATCTTGAATGAAAACCAATAAACTTGAACCCTTCAAAAAAATTTAACTAGACGGTGAACCCATTTTTTTATTTTTATTTTCCACTTAATATATGATAAATTTGATTTATAAAAAGTATTAGCCAAATCCTATATTAGATATTTATACCACCCAGTAATGAATGAATTGTAAAATACAATGTTATCTACAAAAATAAAACACAATATAACACGGATAACAGATCCTTTTTATCGAAATTCACCGTCTGATGATCTCTGATATTCATTATAAAAATAAATTTGTAAAAGGCTCAATTAGTATGTCAGTTGTGTTATAAATTGGAAGTTGGCATATCAACAGCAAAAACTAATTCGCTTAAACAGAAAGTAAAGAATGAAGGCTTACTCATGATGTTAAGCCATGAATACTCTGTTTAAAACGTGTATGATAATCTTATTGGATATTAGTTATTTTGTAGACAAATTAACATATATCAGAAGATACACTATAAAACAGTCATTTTGACATTGTTTCTAAAGAGCAATGCAACGTAAAAGAATTTTAACTATCAATCGGAATATAAAGTAAAACTTTGAACCAGTCACTTTGACATCTTTTGAACTAGGTATGGTATTTATTGAAAAAAATTAGTAATGGGAATATATGACATTCAAACAGTAGGTATTTCTTTGTTTTTCTGCGTTGTAATGTACGTAACTGGAACTTGCGGGAACATACTTATAATATGGACCATATCACGAACCAAAGCGCTAAGAACAATGCAAAATATATTTGTCGCTTGTTTGGCTATTACAGATTTTATGATAATATTTTACCTGATACCGTTCAACTTTGTATACATTTTAATACTAAATGCCATTCCGGATTGGAAGCTGTGTAGATTTAACGCAGTCATTACAGCGTTTTTATTCACGTGCAGCATCCAGTTTATTATGCACATTGCTGTTTGTAGATACATGAAAATATGTCATCCTCAAAGATTCAACAACATGTATACAAAGAGATGGGTTGCTATAGCAATTGCTGCATCTATTACACTAGCGACCACCTTTGCGTCTTCCATGTGGTTTTATGACCATCTGTGGACGTTTGACAAATCACTTCATTCATGTATATTTGACAGATATGGAGATGCATCATTTTCTTATACCTATATGATTATTTCTCTCTTGATTCCTATTGATGTGACGTCGTTTTGTTATGTGAAAATTTACATTCATGTCAGCAATTCAAAGAAAAACGTTCACAGACACTGGAATAATGGTTTAGCCAGACGAACATTAATGCACGAACTTATGGTAACTAGGACACAGTTTGCAGTTTTTGTTGCGTATCTCGTTCTGTATATACCTTTTGGGATAACTTCAATCTTCGGAAACAAGATTTCAGACTTTCCGGACGAGTTCCATGCTTTGGCTATTTATATGTGCTTTTTAAACAGCTGTATAAATAGTATTTTATATGGTGTTATCAATGGAAATATGAGAAAGGCTTACAAGGATGCTCTATGTCGAAACAAGTCTGTAATAACTCCCATAAGTACCATGACGATATCATCTATCGGGACGAGAACAACAGCTTTAGAGTCAACAATTTGATGTTGTTATTAATTCTCATATAAGTAGACAAAAAAAAAAAAAAAAACAGACAAGACTATGAACAGTCAGATAATGTTTGAATATTCTACTTCTCTACTTGGCTTTGGTTCTTCAAAAATAGAACAAAATAGAAAATGGGTTCACGGAATCCGATGGTAACTATATATTTTTTTAAGTAAGGCCTACAATCATCAATTTTTTTTTTTGAACTTTGTTATCTGCTCACCTGCATACTTCTGATCATTGGTATCTTCTTACCTGGATATTTCTGGTACTTTGGTATCTTCGCATCAATTTTTCATAATTTGAACATTGTGTTTTTTGTTTTTTTATGGACCTGTGGTTTTTTATTGCACTGTTCCCTATTTCTTTTTTTAATACAGAAAAGGCGAAAAACTGTGAAAATTGCCCAATATCAGAATGGAACAAGACTTAGGTAAACTATGGTCCGCTAGTTATATTATTTGTTATCTTTTTAATTTGTTTCCCATGGAAAATAAAGTTATCTCTTATGCTATGGCATGCAATGAAACCAGGTTCAACCCATCATTTTTTTCTTAAAATGTCCTGTCAGGAATATGGCACATGTTATCAAATAGTTCGTTTCTATGTGTGTTGGCGTTTGTTTTTTGTTGCACTCCGGTGTTCCTGATGTTCCTTTGTTTTCCTCTTATAGTTGATGTGTTTCCCTCGATTTTGGTTTGTAACCCAGATTTGTTTTCTCTAAAACGATTTATGACTTTTGAACACCGGTATACTACTGTTGCCTTTATTTACCAAAGTACGAGAAAGATGAAGGCAACTACAGAAGTATCAACACGATAAAAATAGGAACAGTTACGATATCACTGGTAAAACATTGTAATGCCTTTGGCAAGTAAATACTTTGCTTCTATAAAGCCTGAATTTACTTCTTTGCAGCTAAGTAGAATTATTTTCAATCAAAGGGGTACTGGATTGTAGATACTACACGTAGTAGAAAAAGGTCTCATATCGCTTGATATCAATTCTCCCCATTAAATTCAATAACAATAATAAACTCGATTTTGGATATCGCGTTTTATCAGATCCTATGGCAAATTAATTATTAGTTTTGAAATAAAAAAAATCGAGAGTTGAAAAACGTATTCCACTTATGTTTAAATTATCTTTGTGTTGAATAGAAAATTCCGCGTAACATTGTTCTGTCTTTTTGGATCTTACCTGGTTGACGTCATGCGTCTTCCTCAGACCGCAAACGTAAACATGCATCAGATGCCTCTAAGGTTTGTATATGTTTTAGACAATGGAATACACTGTGACAAAATGAAAATTTTCATGTGCTTAAAAACTGTGTATTTGTAATTCCTTGCAAAAATCTATTATCTCCCTTACCATGGATATAAAGTAGTCTTTTAAACTTTGAAGGTCATCGTTGAGCCTAATAAATAGCTAAGTTAAATGTAGTAATATCGTATCACATTACAGTATACATGTATACTGTCCATATTAACGCATTTTTAGTATTACCATTCAGTGTGATACGTGAAATATCGTTACATGCGGGAGATAGATAAAAATAATTGTATGTATGTGTACATTAAATATACGTTAGAGAACAAATATTTTGGTGTTTCAGCGATCGACAAAAACTGTGGAGATTGTGTTTCTTAGCAAATCTAGCTAATTCCAATCACATTTTAGTGTGCACTTTCCAAGTCTTAGCACTTTATTTCCTTTTGATGATGGTAGCAAATCTTATGTATTGTGTTACATTTATAGATATAATTAGTGTTAATACCTGCGTAGATTTTGAATAAATCAAGAATAAACGAATGTTAGTTATAAATGACCATTTTGATCTCAACCGCATCTGAAATGTCTGAACATACAAACTCTTACATCTTAATAGTTCATTTGCAGATATATGCTGTGGTGAAAAGTAAAATCACAAAAATACTGAACTCCGAGGAAAATTCAAAAAGGAAAGTCCCCAATCAAGTGGCAAAATCAAAAGTTCAAACACATCAAACGAATTCGTTACATTCACACTTTTCGCTTTCAGCAAATTAAGAACTGCTCATTAACTTTTCGGACAATTCAATATCTATTTTATTCCACAGGTAAAATTTTAGTTATTTGCCGATATTAAAATAGACTGGACATATTTTAACTGAGCAAGCAAAGTGTATGATCAGTACTGAATTAACCGCGATGAATGAAGATAATCGATTAGAGTTAAACGTCCAGTGGCAAATATTACACGCATAACAGGACGACTGTAAATGTTAAATGAAATAGAACCTTGTCTTTTATCAGACCGGATTTTTAAATGTGTAGTTTACAACGTAACAGTCGACAGGCAGACATCTCACAATACCCGGAAAAAATATTCCGACTCCGAGCCGACAAATTGTATCTGTTACTACTAAATGATTCAGGCTTTGCGGTGGTTCAGAAAAATAGTTCCGAGAGAAATAACATGTGCGTTTTCCATCTTGTGTGAGATATTTGATAGGTTAAAATCCACAGCAACAAATAGGATCTCTAAAATATGTAAAGCTTTTATAAGGCGTATGTGGTAAAAGCGGAGAAGATTGTAAATTAACAACACAAGTTAACCATATTAAACATGCAGAGGTAACACATCGACTATTAACAAAGGACGTATTCAAAATTATACTTCGTAAACAAATGTTTCCTTTTATCCAATTTGCATATTTTCTCATAAAAATACAAAATACAGTGCGTGGGAAGTTCAACAATTTTTGTTCAGTTACATTATTTACCGACATATCTTCATTTTTCTTACATATGTCATTCGTCTTCGAATTTCCCACAATACATCTCGTTTACAAAAGTAAATATCGCTACTCTACATAAGAAACGATTTTCTCGATTCGCACTTTCTATAGACTGATATTGAATTGCAAGCTCTAAGTCAAATTGATCTGGACAAGTTGCAAAAAATTCAACAACGACGACAAAATATCGGCAACCAACTCTGGAATCTACATAGATAACAATTCTGAAAACAACTCTGGATTCTGCATAGAAACAGAAAAGGGGGAGAGAACAAGACAGCATCTGCTGAGGTTCTGGCGAAAATTAGGCAACGTTAAGTATGTGTGTTGATGAATGAAAACAGAACAGCAAGTCGATAAATGACCGATCTTGTAACAGATGCTTAAACAAATAATGAAGATAGAAACACATGAAAACTTTTTTATAACAACACAACGAGGCAATTTGATAGCTATCTAAACATATCACATATCATTCCAAATTATAAATCCTTTTCACAACTTCAGTGCAGGCGCGTAAATTTTGCGTCCAACCATTGTCTATTTTAATCGGCATATATAATGCTGATGTTGGATTAAAGTATACCTCACGCAATGGTAATTGAACAGTATTTAGGAATGTTAGGCTGTCCATATAGCGGAGGCTAATATTATAGATATGTTAAATGTTGTCTTTACAATTCTTAACGTATTATCCCCTTGTCCCCCCTGCTTCATACAAACAGAGAAATGTCTGCAAGGATTAGTGTACACTTTTTATTCCCATCGTAAAGTTGGAAAAGTTGTTCCCCATTAATCGAATAATATTTCAAATGATAAATGGATTATGTCCAAAACAGGAATAACTACATTTCACAGATGAATTTTTTAAGCTGGAGACAGTATTCATCTATTAATCTGGAAGTTGAAAGGGCTGCACAGTTTGCTTGGTTATCAGGAAATTGTTGATCTTTGTTGTTTGGTTGATTACCGGTGAATCTGAAATAACTTGATGAATTTGTTATTATCCATTTCCAAACTCCTTCATTCTCCTCATCAGTTGCTCCCACGAAGAATTGGTCATTTGCATCCGGATCTGAAAAGAGTGTGATGATACTATATGTCTTTTAATCTAACATATTTGAATATTTCACAATTTTATATGTTTCATAACCAATCAATTTTTCGACAACAGATGACTACATATTTTCATATATTGCTGTGTTCCTTACTTGCGAACCAGGCGATTACAACACTATGTTCCCTTTACAATTGCAGAGGAGGAAATATGATTGAAAAATAAACAGTTAATAAACTCAACTTTCTTATTTGGACATTTTCGAAATGTGTACACGATGTCATTTGTTCATAAAAGTTTCTCGACTTTGTAAAAAAGCTCACAATGCCTATAGTTACAAAGATCTCGGCTAGAAAAGAGGGGGTCATTATTGCAAGCTTCATTTTCGATGATAGAGGCGAGGAATTAAGATTATATGTATGATACGGTTGCCTGGTTATATAATTTATATCTGCAACAAGTTATAGTTTGCACTTTTTTAAATATAGACAATGCAATTTCCCAAAAGAACTTCTTTTACGGCTAAAACTTTCCCACTTTTACTATGAAGTTTCGTAAAAAATCATATCCTAGAAAAGTTGACTACAATTTTTTTCAAAGGTCAAAACATAGGGCTGCGCGGCATATTTTCAACATTTATATGCCTCGAACTTCTAAGAGTTTAAACTTATACTTAAATTCTGTACTACCCCTCCTTTCACTTTGGGTTTTCCTCAGAATTTAATTCGGCCGCTATCCATATGTATTTATACTGGTAACATTCTCAAGTTGTGTCTCTACTAGAGGAAGCATAAAGATCATATCTAGAAACCAGTAGGTAAACAAAACAAAATATCTATAAATATTAAATTTCTCCCCAAAAAAGGAGTGGTTTGTGAAACAACTGTATTTACAAAGTGCAACCTATACTAACATTTATTTAAATAGAAAAATCTTGAAAAACTTTTTTCTCACAACAATACTTATTTATCAGAATCATAGCCCAAAAGAAATCACTGTATGTACTCTAACTTAACAGTACATTTAATACCCCCACCCCTGTTTCAATTTTTAAAGAATTTGAAAGCAATCCTTTAATTATTGTCCGTTTACCCTATGTGCATGTTTTCTGACATGACATGTCTGTCTAGAACTTGTATGAAACTACTCTAACAACAAATTAAAAGCATTTCCGAATACTATAAATGTAAACTTTAATAGTTAATCATTCCATCATTCATGATCATATAAAGTATTTAATACTGCCTCTATCTACAGTCCACATCTTACTGTATGCCCTTTTATCTATAAAAGTTCACATTTCTGCCTCAAATGGTCAATTCAGAAATCTCGTCACAATAATATAATCTCTAACCATATATCTAACAAAATTTGGCTAATATAATGAACTAGAAGCGTTTAAACAAAGCCATATTTGCAAAAATTATATGAATTTACCAGTTTGATATATATATATTCATTAAAAGTTTTAATAAATGTAATAAAACAAAATATATATATGAATATTAAATTCTTCACAAAAGAGGCTTGTTTTGTGAAAGTGCAACCTACATGTTGTTATTTGTTTAATATGCGGGATGTCTCAGCATATCACCTCTACACAAAAGGTTTGAAGTGTAGTTGATGTTCTCTTTTGAATTGTTTAATGTTTTGTAGTTGCCCATGTGCTTGTTCTTTAGTAGACACATGTCTTATATTCAATCCTGCCAAATCCTCTTATTTGTATACCAAAAGTAAACCAATAAAAAGACAAACAACATTCTATCCACGAAACACTTCACATGAAACTGAAGACTAAACAGAACTACTTACATAAACTATGATTAAGTCAGAATTTTGTCTGTATTTGCATGTTTTTAGATTTGTCGTAATGAGAGTTGAGACACTGTACTGATCAAAATGAAGATATTCCTATTGCGTAAATTCTTTACCGTTTTCATCTGGTCATGTATATATAATGCTTGTTATTCGTGTATATGTTATGATACTATATATGAATTACAGTCTGCATTCATGTACACAAACTATTTCCTAGTAGTTCACCATATAGTTATATGGATATAGCACTAAAATGCCCATATTTATTTAGTTGAATTTATATTAAACGTTGGGTTATATTTTTTCATATGATATAACATGCAATATACATAATTTTCCTTTTCCCTCTTTAAAAAGATACAAGTAATACAGTCAAATGATACAATAGAACTTAAAATTAGTGTAGCATTATCTTACAGTGTAGGTCATAAAAGTAAACCATGTCATCGTGTTTCTTCTCTGAATCCAAGACAAGTAGGTAACCATGTCTCTTCTCGCAGTAGTCTTTGGCGTCATACCAAGTCAACTGTATTGTGCTAATCATCAAACATAGACCATTATAGTAAACAAAACCATCGCCATGACACTCTGGAAATAAAACATTTTGATATTTCAGGTTTATATATATTCGAACCTTTGTTCTTATAATACCCCCCGTGGGTATTTATTTATTTTTGTTAATGTTATAAGTCCTTTGATAATATTTCAGAGTGAAACTAGATAGAACTTATCTCTAGCATATTTACAAGAAAGTTATCTAAAAAAAATGGAGTGCATACAATTTTTCACTGTATTTCTTCCCTTTATTCACAAAAATATTTTAAAGATATTTTTGAAGCACCTAAATCAAATTATTCTTTTCAATGTTGCATATAACTTTATAAAGAGGCATAACTCAAGAACATTTAAACTGATGCCACCCAAATTTGAACTTGATCTGTGTTTTGTGGTAATAAGCATTGTGTATAAATAAAGGCAACAGTAGTATACCGCTGTTCAATAATCATAATTCGAATAAGCAAAAACAAATCCGGTTAACAAACTAAAACCGAGGGAAACACATCAACTATAAGAGGAAAACAACGGAACAACAGAAACAATGAACTACAACATACATAGAAACGGACTGTCTGATAACAACTGCCATATTCCTGACTTGGTACAGGACATTTTAAGACAAAATGGTGGGTTGAACCTGGTTTTATGGGTAGCCAAACATCCCGCTCATATGACAATGTTAAAAATACCGCTAAAATGACAACACTACGTGACAGGAATACAGTACAAACAAACGCAAGAACACTCAGCACAGGGAAATACATAAATAAATAATATAAAAGTACATTACAACATGTAAACCGCAGAATAACAAAGGACACCTTCAATGAATATAAGTTTCATAGCATTTGGTTGAGGCAAACTAAAATTAGATAACAGAAATGAAAAATTAAATAAATTTTCCTAATACAAAGGGCAAAATTCCAGAACGGTAAAAACGATTACAATAAAATTAAAGATGTGGCGGAAGATACCAAGAGGGCAATAACAACTCATAAGTATTTATCATAATAGCAAAAATCGGCCAATACATGCCATTTTATAAAACACTACTATATGGCAAAGAGTTGACTCTTAGATATTCTATGTCCGTTATCTATTTATAGATTTACTCTTCATCTGGAAAGCTATGAGCCACTATTTTCCAATGGTAATCCATTGAACCGAAAACTATTTGACAAATAAATAATAAGTTGAAGTCATATGAAACCATTTTCTTGTAATTATAATGTTAGGGAAGTTATTGAACCAATGCTTACATATACATACTTAACTAAGTTCTCTATGCACTATTTTTTTTTACATTTATTACGAATCCATAACGTATAATAAACAACAAAATATTTCATTTAGTACAAGTGTGCCTTCTTATTAATTTTCGGGTTTTATTGCCAAGGTTTACCGATTGTGACCTCAATAACTCTTGAACAACAAACACAGAATCATGGAGTACGTGAACAAAATAAGTGAGATGATAGACCTGAAAATGCGATGTTTGAATAATTTTAATATATTTTCTATGTGCTACTTAAACTTTTTCATAACAGTTGTTAAATGATTTGATGTGTTTAATTTTCTTTCAGAAACAATTAACACTATCTAACCTTCACGGTTTTTTTCCTTTTCTTTCATCACGATTTTGTTCTCTCAAATGTGCTGTGAGGTTGCCGAAGTTCTAACAAGAGGTCTCGTGGTAAAGGTCATTGCATACGAAAAACTTATCAGTGAATTGGAGTACGGGAAGACAATATTCAATGGCAGTTCATTTCTAAGGATTTGGTAAGATAAATGATATTCTATTAACAAAAAGTCCATGTACACGTGTTTTATAGTAATCGTGCAAGTATATAAAACATATTCTTTTTAAAATTTAAGCATCATATGACCTTGAGCAATATGCTGGAACATTGTTTGAATAAAGACCCCTTTTTGGTCTTAACGATTAAATGTTTTTGATTTGTTGTCCTAACGATATCAATATTAAATATCAAAAACATTAATTTTGAATCTCCGTTCTTCATCGACGGTTTATTACCTGCAACGATTGTTTATGATCTGATAGTCTCATTAGAGCTTTCTTACATTTTGACGAAAGATACGAACGAACGTAAGGGGACCATGTATTACATTCCCACGATGATACTGACAGTCTATGTATAATCCGGTAAAGCGGCATTTTTTTTAATCAAATTTATCTTTTAAGCATTTCAAAAATCATTAACATTTAATATTTGAAAATAAAAAAAATAGTATAAAGTACACTTACGTCCGATAGGTTGCTTATGTTAATCATGATTACACAGAGTTGTGCGGGAAGTATTCAAGCATGCATTTTGTTTAATGTTTACACCATTACTGTTTTGAAGACATTCTTGAAGTATGATGCTCTAAATTTAACGAAAAATTTACAATTATTTGGCTTAGATGTGCATACATTATACCTAGGCGGAGATCCAGAATAGGATGCTAGGAGTATATCTGCTAAGTAGAGGCATATCAGGCCCACTCCTAAATCCGCCCTTGAGCTCTAATTATAGATCTTGATTTGTTTTCATACACATTTTAACATCAGAATGTACATAAAAAAAACCACATCAATAATCTTGCAATATATAGATTCTGATACTGATGATTAAAAGTAAATTTTTTTTAGTCCTGTATTAGGTCCGAGGACACAGTTATCGTCCTTAGATTTTCGTTGTCTGCAAATATAGTCCCTAGTGTGGACAGTGTATAACTTGCCAATTTTTTTCATACACTTTCCAAATTTATTTCTTTATATTTTATGCATGAAATATTAAGTAAGGGGATGAAATAACTTGTAAAAAACAATTGGTTGCTGAATCTTTATGTTAAGTAGTGATTTGGTCCAGTTAAAAAAGGTAAAAAACTAGTATGTCTGAAGCTGTCAAACTGAATTTTAGACCCCCTTAACATACAATTGTCAATATTTTGAGTAAGAACCGGTAGACTTTTCTATAATTTTGATATTATTTGTCCAAATAGTAGTACACTACACTGTAAACATCTTTTTGGGATAGAGCAGGTGCGATTTCTTTAATTTGACTATTATCTAAAAGAAATGCACTACGAAATAACTGTGTTCTCGGGCCTGTATCAATCTCGGTGTATGAACTCACCAAAAGACGGTAAGGTGTATTATCGAGGGGGGGGGGGGGGTTATAACTAAAAGAATTATAAAACGAGCCAATGATATTTTTTGGGTGCAATTCTTTACCATTTTCGGGGGTTTTCATATTTAGAATGTTTCTTTTTTGTGTTTTTGTTTTTTTTGTTTTTTTTGTTTTTTTTTTGGGGGGGGGGGTCTTATATATTTGCCTTGGTACTTTATTGAGTTAAATAATGCACAGATGTAATTGTTTTGGGGTTGGGAAAGTGATTTAGAACAATCTTTGATATTTAGGGGAACTTCTTCTGAAGATCTTTTTTTGAGAACTTTGTTGAGTTATCTTCTTAGTTCCGAGATTCCAATGTAACGTTGCAGGCAGTGTAATGATTCCTAATAGGCAAAACTTTAGGCAAAATGCCATCGAAGTTCCGTGACTATCTTGATTAAGATAACATAAAAATGTTATATTTAAAAAATAATAAAGGATCCCTTTAATGGATATTATATATGATTCGTAAACCCTACGTACCTTTCGTCAAATTGTAAGAGAGCTCCGTTAAAAACGTATGAAATAGAATGTACGATCATGACGATATTCTAATGAAATGCTATTGTAAGTATGAAAACAACTCTATCACCTTAATAACACAAAATAGCACATGTTGTTATTATTTTTGTCGTTCTTGCGGTTGTAATAAGACAATATAACCAAAATACAAAATCTCTTATTTTTAACATAAAATAGTAAAAGATATGTCTATCTCTTAGCGCATACGAACAACGAATAAACAAATGAATTCAGAAAAAGAATATATTTAGAATAAAGAATAAATTCCAACTATTTCTCTCAGGTTATATTCTTGTCTTAAAAAAATGAAAAATGATATTTCAGTGACCTGATGGCTATAGACTAATCAGACCCTTTGTTGTGATTTAGCTTTTCAACTTTTTCGGTTCTTATACATCCTTCACTTTCAAATGTTTGGCTTGGAGCGATTCTAATAAAGATAAATCCAGAAAAGTGGATCGGACGAATGAAAATCATAAAGTGTTGTTTTCATTTTTAAGATATTAAAAGAAAAGAATTAAGAGATAATACTTAAAAAGTTTCACTGGCAAAATAACGTTTTTTGCTTAGCTAATATGTTTCATGAGTAATGGAACTACGGAAGGGTGGAACTATTTGATAAAAAAAAATGACATGAAAGATTGATAGATCTTAACTTTAGAGATATTATTAAACTGTACCATTTTACTATAAAATACAAGTACGTCTTGAACTTAATTCAATAAAACTTGTTATAAGTTATCGTTTTGTAATCGTCGATTTGTCTCTATTTGTGATCACATTATCGTTAGTTACCAAATTACGTAATCATGTTCAAATAGTAATACTTTTATTGAATAATTTCTTCTCAAAACATGATTCATGACCATTATTCATATTTATTTCAAATTTAAAAGTTTGAAACGAACAGCAAAGACATTGACCATGAACCAAAAATAACGTTGAAGCGGACTGTTCAATCAGCAAAACAGCATATTTCAAATATATCAGTTGTAAGAAATGGTTTTTCTACAATTAATGTCAGGCATCCATTTGGGCCTTTTTAATAACCTCAAAACGATTTTTCCTGATATTGAATAAGGGAAAGTGATACACATGAAGAGTAATACAACTGATCTAACATGGAAACCGTCACCCGAGCTGATCTTTATTGCCTTGTCGCACGCAAAAAGCTACATTTTGTTGATAACGTCTTTCAAAATACCGATCAAAATCTTTTCTATATATAGTATTGATAGATACAATGTCTGAAGTTATTCAAAAATAGTCAAAGGGAGAGACGCAAAGATTCAATCATAGCGAAGGGAAGAGACGCACAGATTCAAACACAGAGAAAGGAAGAGACGCAAAGATTTAGACATAACAAATGAAAACTATGCTATTTAAGTAGATAATTAGAAGCCGAAAATTTAAGGAATGTGACAACCTACAAAACGATATGAATGTTTTTGTTGTTGTATTTGTATCGTGTATACTTCTTAGCTTACATCATTTAGTGTTCTAATTGCAATTCAATATCTTAAAATTCAAACTTACCTTCTACTGGTTGTTTTACATAAACCCTGACAAAAGCATTTGTCGAAGAATCCGCTGTTATTGACGATAATCCAAAACATGCTTCTTGATAAAAGTAAAATGCCTTACAATACAGGTTAACCTTGCAGAGCAAGGCACATTTTGCCAAGTTTAAACTTGTTTGTGTATAAAGAAGTTCTGTGATTGAAGACGTTTTCCATACGATAGAATCCGGTAATTGTTGAAAAAATGACCAATCTTGTGAAAAATCTACAAGAAAGAATTGTTTAAAACTTGATTGAGCATGTGCAGCGATAGTAGCTAGAAATGGATAATACATTGGAACATTTGAAAAAAAACCCAAGTATTATAAAAAATGTTAGGGACCACCCTTTTTGCATTCATACATTTGAAAGTGTTAAACTATCACCCTTTCACAACCTGAATAGTTATAAGTCTGGTATAAATAAACTATCTTAAATCAAAACTGACCATTATAAAAATAAGTAGATGTGGTATGATTACCAATGATACAACTATCCACCAAAGTTCAAATGAAGTGGATGTACGCAATTATAGGCAACCGTAAGGCCTTCCAAATTGAGAAAAATCCATACCGTATACTAGTAGTCGGCTACGAAATGCCCCGATATGAAAACTATGAAACAATTCAACTAAGAAAACTAACGGCGTAATTTATGACAATGCAATTAACGAAAAACAAATATCCGACTTGGGACAGGCACATTAAGATTGTGACGGGGTTAAACATGTTTGTGACGGGGTTAAACATGTTTGTGAGCGGTCAACACTCCCTAAACGTGGGACAGTGGTGTTACAGCACAACATAAAAACAAATTATAAAAATCAGTTGAAAAGGGCTAAACTCATCAGATTAATACAAATAAAATAACATCTAACACAGACCGGATGCGGCAGGGTATTTATACACCCCTAACAACAAAAATGACACCAAGTACAGATATGAAAGTACTTGCAGTTACTGATAGCTAGTTCAAAACCAATTACATCTAATACAAAAAATCATGTATTTAAGACTAACATATCAATCAGTATACATCCAACATCCAATGGATTTAGTGTAAAGACAGTCGGAGAAAAACATGATCTTGTAAAATGCCAAAATATAGTATCGATAGATTGTAGTATCGTGAAGTGCATATGTGTATAACAATACTATTTAGTATATCGTTAATTTACTAATAACAGAATCAATATTTATACCTCCAAAGATATCATTGCAATGTTGAATTGGTAACTTTTAGAAAAAGTTTATTTAACGGATTGATAAGTTTACCCGGATCGTATTTAAATTTTCGGGCTCGGTAAACAATATCGCTGTAAAAATTAGAATGTGCTATACCGTCTACAGGTACAGCCAAACTTGCAAACCAAATCTTTATATCTATGGAAGAATTTAGTAAAGGTTTTAAGTAATGTATGGTAACGAAATCCCTGACTTAATAATTTACCAGTAATACATATATTAGGCTCATTGAAATTCAAAACGTCACCACAGACACGGCATAGCGAACGAGTATGTTTGGTCAAAACTTTTGGAGCCCAAACCCCTTTTCACAAACATAGAGATTTAACTGCAGACTCCCTCATATAGTGACATCCTTCACAAAGAGCAGGTCGTTTAAAAAAGAGACGTTAGCACTATTTCAAAATTCACCAATCTTCGCATCAAATTGTGGTACACTTCATAGTTTGAATATCAATGATGCAATTTTACAATAAATCTGAAAAAATATATGCTAAAAAGCCAAAAGACCAATCACCTCACTCGTTTCAACATGTCTAATATAGCAAAGTTATAAAGATGATTTTGCAAAATGCATTGCTTGATGAAAATCAAGTTACAATATGTTATTACCGATGGCTGAATTACCATTTTTAGAATACTGAAAATAACTCAAAACCATAACGAACATAGCGAACGTAGATTGATTTACACCACTTATACATAGGTAAAACATCTATCGGTAAAGTATCTAAAAAAAACGTATTGCAAAAATCTTTATTTAATAATTAAATGAAATATTTAATTTCAAACTAAGTAGTAGGGTCGGATTTTCGTGAGGTAAAAACAGTAAGTTTTATCGCCTCTTGTTACATATATTCTATACAATTGTAAACATATTTGACCATTTGTTTAATTGAAAGTATAAAAGCTACGTATATTATTTAAACGATATTCAGAAACAATTCAACGAGTTCTAAATGCATACAAAATTTCATCAAAATTCGAAATATAGCCCAATTAAGACCGAACAAGTCCACTAAAGTCTTTTGAATATTTGAAAAAGAATTAAAAGAGACACTATCTCAACATCCTCATCAATACAAAATCCCTTATTCACCTGAAACCACAGCAATTTTGAATGAAAGATGTAATTTGATAAATGTATGATTCATTTTGATTTTTGAAAAGAAGGTAAATAGGACCTTATCATACCCCTTGCAAATAATAAATACATACCTAGTGTTGTAATCGGGAATATAAATAATATCATCCGTATGAGTAACATGACTCTAAAGCATACGTTAAGGCAATCCTGATAATTCGAAATATGTTAAACAGTATTAAGTATGATTAAGGAAATCCATTTTTAAACAATATTAGATATGATTAATAACGACCAAGCGAACATTTCTTTTTTTTTTCTATTTAAAACAAATATGAATCTTAATTGAAAACTCCAATTAGTGTAACTCAAATGTGAAATAAATATTGAAAACAAATCATATAATGTTACGTTTAACTACTGACAATATTTTCCTTATAATACCAAGTGATGGTAATTGTTCTATTGAATAATTTGATATGATAGAATTAATCTTTTTTTCAAAATGCATATAAAAGCCAATAAGACGAACATTAAAAAAGAAGCATTAAATTCTATGTGTCCTTTACTGGATATTGATTTTATTTTTAAACAACTTTAAAACATTATAATTATTTTTTGTTTATCGAAAAAGGCATCATCGATCATTGCTAGAACAATGCTTCGATGTTTTAGAAACCGATCACTGCGATTTTGATGGTGGAAATAAAATTAAATAAAACGATTTATCTGAATACTGAAAAGACAATTATACAGCTTTAGGTATACCTTTTTTTTGAAACAGCTCATATCTTTACAAATGCTTCTGTTTTAAAAGGTAAATTGTTATCGTTTTAAAATCAGAACAGAGACGTGAAAGCATAAGTAAAGAAAGGCAACAGTAGTATGCCGCTGTTTGAAATTCATAAATCGATTGAGAGAGAAACAAATCCGGGTTACAAACTAAAACTGAGGGAAACACATCAAATATAAGAGGAGAACAATGACACAACAGAAACACTAATTTTATAAAAATGCAACACACACAGAAACGAACTATAAGATAACAATAGCCATTTTCCTGACATTTTAAGAAAAAATGGTGGGTTGAACCTGTTAGCCAAACCTCCCGCTTTAATGGCAATGTTAAATACAACACTAAAATGACAACATTACATGACAGGACTACAATGCAAATAAATGGAAGAACATGCAGGACAGAGAAACACACAAATAAACAATACAATAGAACATTACGACAAACTAATAGTTATCAAAGGTGCCAGTCCTAAAGATGAAGAGCATTGATGACCCAAAATTCCAAAAAGTTGTTCCAAATACGGCTAGGTTATCTGCCTGGGATAAGAAAATGTTTAGTATTTAGAATAATTCATATTATTGCGAACAGTTAATTTATAAAATATAAAAATGACCATATAATTGATATACATGTTAACACGGAAGTGGTGACTAACTACAGAATAAAAACGAATACGTAAAACAACCTAGATCAGCACAGCCGAACAACGCATTATATGTCAGCCGAATAGATCGACGCACAAAAGTAACAGGTAAATTTCTAAAAATTTCAAAAAAATTGGATAGAGATCAAGATTAGGTTTGTAATACTGATATAACATGTATTTAATGAAATTTACAATACTTATTAATATAAAAAAGTAAACTTCTTATTACTATAATATAACTAAATTTTGATTGACACCTTAAATATGTGTTCAATATCTTAACATATGCTTTTTTTCTGACTTCAACAGTAAATTAGATATAGGAATCATTTTTTGTCTTTGAGGTAGTATCTAAAGTTCATTTATGACGTTAGAGTTTTACGTATTCATATTTACGCTTTGGTGATATGAACAATTGTCAGATAGTCTCTATAAGCCTTGTTCAAATCTCGTATAGAGTAAAAGTTCTTTATTTGAAAAGCTGGTAGTGGTAATTTCGATTGACCGGAACTAAATTAAACTATAACTTTGTTTACGATATCAATTAATCAAAATATACAACACATTAAACAACAATATGTATCATGATAGTCCCTTGCATCTTTTTTCTTGAAAGGATTTTGAATCATCAGAAGCGTTAAATACAGATCATACCACATCTTCTTATTTTTATAGCATAGTTTTACCGTCAGTTTTGTTCATTAACCATTTGTTGACTTTTTGACGAAAGACAATACTTTGTTCTTCATATATATGAAAGTAATTGCTGTTAGGATTAACATAAAGAAAACACTTCATCTATAATTATGAGCTGACAAATTTCTGTTTTTCCGTGTATAATGAATGTAATTAAACATACCATATTGCGACAGATTCCTTGTTTGAAGTAAAATGCAAAACGGTTAAGGATATTCTTATTTGTCCAGGTATGACGTAAATATTAAAAAAAAAAATAGGACTTATATAGATATCAGGGTTAGCGAATGACCTCATCATTTGTCTGATACGATTATAACGTTTTCCATATTTGCTCAACAAAAATTGGTAACGTAGAAATTTAATAATGACGCATTCTCTTGAAACAATACAGATTTTTCTAAATAAAACAAATCATCTACTATAGAGTACTATTTATATAATCAAACGTTAAAAGTAATCGCTGTTTTTTTTTCGGCCCCTAATATTAAAATTTCTCGAGGTCAATTTGTGACAAATGGTAAGAATGTTCCTCTCCTATGGTTAAATTTCTATTCAATGACTTTGCATTGTCGTTATTTCTTTCTCGTTGAGTGTGCATATCTCCGTTGGTTCGTTATGCAAATGTGTTCAAAGTTCAGAGTTTGATATGAAACAATTTTAACATGAATATAAATACTGTCTCAAAATGTTTACTAAATATAATATCAAATTTAGGAATTTATTGTGAAAGTATAATTCAACATTGGATACAGCGGATACAATGTTGGTTTTAATGTCAATTTATTTATATATCAAAACATAATTGAACATCAGTCAACAGGGAACATCTGACCTTAAACGGGCAACGCTCGGTTTCGAAATCGATTAGCCTTTGAAATCTACGTGCTAATCGAAGAGGCATTTAAACATTCTGTTTGCTTTGTCAGATAATATTAAAAGCTTATTTGAAAGGTACACGTTCTATGTTTTGAGGTATTTATGAGATTTGGGAGTATTTCAATCGTTGACTTTGAAACCATATCTTTGTGGGTACCTTAACAGTTCGGTTAAATGGTATTTATATTTCCGATGTTTCTCACTTCTACTTTTAGCTGCCATTCTTATTCAACTTTTTTTTTTAAATATTTTCAAAAAATATTTGATTGGCTTTCAAACTCAGCCGCTTAATCTGGAATCCATAACAGCCCTAAAGCCAAGCAAGATAAATCGTCTCCTGTTGAAATTTTCAATTTGTATTTTTTTAAGATACAACCTATTTAAAAATATTCTTTTGACAAACAAAGATTTAACTAGGGAATTGCAACTACAAATTTGAATTCCATTAGTGGCACATCATTACTTATTTTAGTCGTTCTCCCTCAAAAACATTCATGCAATTTTTTTGTCAGGACTACACCTGAGTAAATGAAGTCCGTATATACACGAACATATGTGAACATACACGACTAATCGTAATAATTGAAATATGTTAGTGCAGTACGTTTGGGTCAGACGTAAGTGTTGCTGATGAGATATAGAAAGTTGAAATCACCAGTTATTTATAGATTCGAGTTTAAAGCCTAAATCGTCCATCTGTGTCAATACTAGTATCAGGCCAAAGATCAAGAAATGCAGAAACCCTTCTTGTTTCGGAAGTAACCTAAATCTTAATCTTTCTCTGTGATACATGCAATGCAATCATTCACTTAAACTTGGTTATTGAGTGACAGAACATCATTTATATATCGAAAGTGAAAGTAAATAACTTGTAAGATGCTTCTTTGACGGTTCTGTATGAATGCTGCTTCATATGAGTAAAACAAAGTCAGTAGGGTTGCACAATTATTATCATTAAAATACCAATTGTCTTCTGAAATGTCGAACAATCAAATTGATCTCATACGCTGTCGATAAAAACATCACCATTTTAATAACACTATCTTCGGTGTATATATTGTTCGCATCAGTGTGCTAGATTGCAAAGAAAGATTGTTCATGAACCAACACAATGAAAAAAAAAAGCAGTGACATTTGAGCACGAGGAAAAGAAGAGAAGTGTAGAGCGTAGACACATCTAGTTTGATTTTAAAGATTGTGATTAAAGATATTGGAGTAGATCTTTAAAGTTTGAAAGGAATACCCATGCGCAGAGCACAACTACATGTAGTTGAAAATTTCCCAGCACAATATTTGTGGAGACCATCTTCTACTGTGGAAAAAGGATGGTAAGATCTTTAGAAAGATGTTTAGCTGTACATCTAGACGACCCCGTTATATATCGCTCTTTTAAGGATTTTTGTGAAGTTTCAACAGCATTACAATAGTTTTGCTCGACTGCACATTTCAATAAATGTCATTATACATTCCTCATTATTTCGACCATGAAAAAGTTATATTAGGATGTAATAAAATAACAATGACATAATTTTAGTCATTATCAAAATCAAGAAAAAATAGTGTTTTAAAAGTTTATATTTTACTGAAGCGTTCTGTCAATAGACTTGTTAATGTTTGATCGGGAATTTTTGAAATGTTGAATGAATTGTAAACATGAATAGAATATTTTGTATAAAATAAATGAACAAAACGTTGTGACAAATTTTAATTGGAAACCGATAATGAATCAATTAAAAGATTTTGAAACACATTTTGTTATTCAGTACATTTCAAAATGACAAACTGTTCGAAACATTGATACGTATCCTTTCAACTCCGATTCTTTGTCCCTGAAATGGTTTGAATTGTTTCACATTTTTCATGTCGGGGCCTTTTATAGCCGATTACACATGTCAGGAGTCTGTAGTTCTGTGGTTGTCATTGGTTCATGTCTGTCATATTTGTTTTTTGTAAATTGTTTTGTTATAAATTAGTCCGATAGTTTCTCGTTTGAATTGGTTCAGATTTTTCATGTCGGGACATTTTATAGCAAACCATGCAGTATTGGATTTACTTATTGTTGAAGGCCGTACGGTTGTCTATAATTGTTTACATTCACTTCATTCGAAATCTGGTGGATAGTTGTCTTATTGGAAATAGCACTACATCTCCTCATTTTACAGCACAATGACTTGAGTGTGTAGGTGAAGGTAATATCT